AATATCCCAAGGTGGAAGGGACCTATAAGTATCACTGACTCCCATTTTTATTTCTCTTTCCATAGATTAAGACTATGGGAACCTCTGGATTAAAGCAAGAATAGTGGGACACAGCAAATTCTCTGAAATGTATCTTTATGGCCACTTTTCTGGAACTTTTGTGATATTAAGGTTAACTCTATAGTTGCTTCTAATTTCCTTTCTTCTTGAAGCCTTTTAGTTTTCTTCCCCTTTTTCAGCAGAGCCTGACAAAGAAACAGCTTTAGCTCAAATCTCCATGCTACCTTTTCCCCATGTATTTACTCTTTTCTCCAAGCTTTTTCAGGGTTGAACAGAACTGGATATGGTACAGAGAAGGGCAATTAGTATTACCAAAGATGATATATGAAATAATTAACAATAGTCTCCTGTGGACCGGAAAGAAAACAGCTGAGAAAGTATATGATCAATGCATAAGGAATAATAAATGGCATGGAAAAAGTGAATAAGGAATGCTAATGCAGTATTTTTCATAGTACAAAAGTTTGGCAGCATTAGCAGAAAAAAAGGAAAAAGCTAAAACTGTACAAAAATATTTCTTTTATTTGTGTGCCACTCATCTACAGAACTGGCTGCCAAAAAAATGACTGTGAAGGTCAAAAGGTTCAAAAAGATTAGACACATTCACAAAGAAAAATCCGCCAGGTACTGCTGAATACATAAAGATAAAACCCCATCTCAGAAACTGCTTAGTCTGCAAACGAACAGAAACTGTGGGAGTTTACTGGAGGAAGGGGCAGTCTTTCCATCCTCTCCAAGAATACACAACAAATCTGTCACAAATAAGTCTGTGGCTAGTAAGGATATTGATCTGACCCAGAATGGCTGTTTTGCATTTCTGATACCTTGTTGATTGCCTTTGTAATTCTATGGGGAGATGAGAAGATTATGGTAGATTGAAGGCAGTTAGGAGGATTTTTGCTTTTCATTTGTCTTTGCAGAATGTACATCAACCGGGCCAGAGTCTTGTCTCACATTTCCATCTTGATATGGGTTTCACTTTAATTTTGCTTCGCGTGTTCTTTACAGAGTAAACAGTGTATGGTTATACTGAACAGGCATTGCTGAATATACGCTAGCTTTGTTCACAGCTCCCAATCCCTGCTCTCGGCAGCACCTTTTGTCACTGCACTTTACAGTGCTTTGCCTTTACTCTGCAAGGTCATGTTGTGGAGGGTGCAGGAAGCAGCACCTGCTCAGGAACAACTTGATTGAGTGTTCAGCCTCTAGTAACTCTGTGTAATCAAGCAAAAAATGATAGATGCCATCCTGTCATCAGTGACATAGTTACAATCACTACAAGCAAAACTAAAAGCAAATCCTTGCAATGGCTTTGTTTGTCAAGGTCTTGCTGCCTTTCAGGAGAAGTAAGGAAGGGTACCTTCAGCTGATGTCAGCTGTCTGATATCTAGCTGGTGCTAGCTAGCCCATGTTGCAGCTACACCAATTTTACTGATTATTTTGAGCAATATGTTCAGCAAAAGTAAAGCAACATGTACAGAGAGCTCCCAGAAGAAAACTGAGCCCAAGGATTTTTACAAGTCCAATCAGTGGGGAAGAGAGTAAGGCAGGAACTCTAGAAAAGTAATTTTGAGACATTTGGGTCTACATCTTTTCAAAGCCATGGAACTAGATGTTTTTTCATGTCATTGGAGGGCATTTCTTTATATTTTCTAATCAGACTGGATTTTTAAGGGACACAGCCCCCCTCATTGGCCCACGCTGCCTGATGTCTATAGAGTGCAATGAGATCCTGACCAACGTTGTTGACCCTGACATTGTTAAAAAGGCTAAAGAACAGGTAGCATGTGAATAATAATGACTAAATATATGATCATTTCACAGTCTAACAAACCTTTCTTCCTGCTTTTCAACTGTATATTCTATTCATTTTTAGAATCTCAAACACTACAGTGATCAATCAGGTGCATGCATGGACAATATGGACATATGCTATAGAGATTTAAACCAGCACCACATATCCTTCCTTGGCTACTGGAAGCAGCAGAGCTGTAGTAGCATCAAGACAAGCATACGCTGTTCCATAATTCTGCTGACAAGTCTAATGGAGTTGTACTAATATGATTTTAGTGCTTTGAATATATTGAGTAGGTTGGTTTTGTTCACACACTTCTAAGCTTTTTCTTCATTAATAAAAGGACATCTGCATTTTAACAGCACCTCATTCTTTTAATAGAGATCCAGTCACCTGGGCTCACTGGGTGCTATGTAGGGCATGCAGAGGTCCAGGCTGGATGCGGCTCTGGGCAGCCTGGTCTACTGGCTGGTGACCCTACGACCCAGGGGGGTTGAAAGTAGGTGATCATTGTGGTCCTTTTTACCCCAGGCCATTCTATGATTCTATGATAACCTGCACTCACATATTGCAGTAGATCAGCAGCATCACCAAATGAGTGTTAGTAATATATAATCACAGCATCCTGCAGTTATGAGATCTGCATAGATTCTTCTGGTTTCCAACTGGACAATGCTAGAACTGTGCAAGGAGTCAAAGAAAACTCTGTAGCTTCTACTGCAGAAAGTTGTTGGCCATGGCAAAGGAGGACTTAAAGCTATAAGTGACCATACTTTTCTATTCTCCCTACTCTGTAGCTAGACTTACATATCTTGTGACATTCCAAACCACCTTCCTTGGAGAGGAGCCCAAAGCAAATAAATGTGACACCCTGTCTACACAAAATGCATTCAGTAAAAGAGTTTTAGCAGGACATGGTTACTCAGTATTTATGCGTTTACTGTAGATAAGAGACAAGGACTGATGAACTGCTGTTCATGGCGATGGCAAACCTTACATGAACAGTGTCAACAAACAGACTCATGGTATTCTGAAATGATTTTGCTTGAGAAGAGTCATCATGGCTTACTTGTTTTTTCCATCTGCATAATCTTATAGATATATCTTAAGATGCTCTAAACAGCACCTTCAGTCCTCTCACTCTTTTGACAGCTGTGAAGAAAAGTGCTTAGGAGCAGCATTGATAGAATAAGGGGAAATGACTTCAAGCTTAAAGAGGGTAGATTTAGGTTAGATGTAAGGATAAAGTCTTTTACAGTGAGGGTGGTAATGCACTGGAACAGATTGCTGAGAGATGTGGCCCTGTCTCTGGAGACTTTCAAGGTGAGGCTGGATCAAGCCTGGGCAAGCTAATTTTGCTGTCTATGTCCCTGTTCACTGCAGGGGAGTTGGACTAGATGACCTTTAAATGTCCCTTCCAACTCTAAGGATTCTATGATTTTAAGTGCAAGTCTTGATTCTAGAATTCAAAAATAACTTAATCATCTGCTTCCTGAAAATAAGCAATTAGTTATTTACAATGAATGGACACATACATATTTATTAGAGTTCTATGGGTCTCAGTGATCTCTGGCATATCTTATCTACATCAAAAATACCTCAAACACTACCACAGTCTTTTTTTTTTTTTTTTTTTTTTTTTTTTTTTTTGCCTCCTAGGAAAAAAAAACAAAAGATCTAAAAAGGTAGAAAAGATAGAAATTGACTCCCATGCTTATTCCATTAAGTGCATCACAGAATAAAGAAGACAGACATGTAAGCAGGAAATAATTCATTCCCACTTCAGCTGGATCCTTGACTTAGAGCACCACGGTACATAACAGCCCTGGTCACTAGCTATTGCCAGTAGCTACTGCAGGTTGCTCATTCCAAGGAAGGTGGTGGAGCATGGCCAGAGATAAGAAACTCTGGAAAACAACTTCCAGTTGCTTAAAGGCTAGTTTGCACCCTGGAATCTGAAATGTAGTTGTTTTTCTATCAAAGCATGTTTTTTTAATCCTTAGGTGCTTTAATTCTAGATGTTCCCTGTCCACCTACAGACCTTGCTGGCATCATTTTTTATCCTTTTCTTCAGACATAAGTTTTACAGTCTGGATTTAAAATGCAACTACGGATTATTCATTCATTATACTTCCTGACACAAGTGGGATCAGCCCTTGTAAGAATTTGGATAACGGACAGCCTTTGAAAGCTCAGTCCCCTATGGGAAGCGCTATGGCTGATTCACCACGTGCCAATATTCTGTCTGCTGATTTACAATTGGTACTCTTCCAATTAGTGGTAGGAGACAACCACTAACACAGCCAGCTGCTGCACGGGCTGCCTCTCTGATCTGTTTCTTTTCTTATCTTGTTTGTCCTCTTGCGCCTTTTGAGGGAGTTTATTCTCCAACAAGACAAAGGCAATAAAACAGTCAATTAACGTGATGTAGTCACAGAAGGGGCGAGTTGCATTTCCTAGAGGTACGGCAGGGAACAAGAGACTGAAAAAGTGTTTCGCTGGCCAGAAAGCATTCAGGGGCACAAGGAGGCAGATCTGAGCTAACAGTGCAAGGGTTGGTCGGCTGGCTGGGGACAGGAAAGTGCACGCTTAGGGCACAGGTGAAGGCAAGCAGACCGTGCTGCCTGCCCCTCCGCATACCCCAGATGGGAAAAGCAGTGCAGATCCTGCTGGGCACGCGGCCATTTATTTCATTTCAGAGGTCGATATGCCCTGAGCACACGCCGCTAGGCGGGTCTGGCTGCCTCACTCCGTGGCTCTGCGCCCTCGGCTGCCTCCCGGGGCAGGGCCGACGGCAAGACCCGCGTTTCAGCTCTGCAAAGCCGACGCGGAGCCGCAGGCAGGCTGCGGGCACACCTGCCTCCTGCGGGCAGGGGCCGCCGGTCGTCATGGCGACCGGCCGGGCTGCAGCCTCCCCGGCCCCGTTGCGCTGCCCAGCCGTGGGCAGCTGCCGCTACCTCTCCCCCCGCGGTGCCGGAGGAACACCCCGCTTCACCGCGAGCAGCGAGGCCGCAGCCGCCGGGCTCTGACTGCGGCGGGCGGGGCCAGGCGCGGCCCCAGCCCGGCTGCGCCACAGGAGCCTGCCCGGGGTGGGAGGAGGAGGGACTCCGCCGCGGCAACAACTGACGTGTCCCCGCCATGGAGCTCGGCGTGATTCATCAGCGACGGCAGGCAGGCTGCGGGGTGCCGCGCACCGTCCCCGCATAGGCACGGCCGCTTCGGGGACAGCTCCAGTGCCGCATCGCGCTGCTTTTCCGTCTCCTCTATCGTTGCCTGCACCTGTGCCCCCGCGGCGACGCGACGGGAAGGCAAGATGGAAGAAATCCTACGGAAGCTGCAGAAGGAGGCGTCGGGGAGCAAACACAGGGCCATCAAGGAGAGCTGCACCTGGGCCATCGGTAAGGGCGGGGGGCGCGGGGCGCTGGGGGCTCAGGTGGGCGCAGCGGAGGTGAGGGGCGGGTTCTGTGCCGCCGACGGCAGCGAGACCTCGGCAAAACTTGCTCTGCCACCGGCGGGACCGGAGCGCCTCCAACGGCTCGAGGGTCCGGGCGGCTCGGTGCTGTGGTACCGGTTCAGCCATCCGAGGAACAGCCATGTGCCCCTCCGCCCCGCTCTCGGTGTTGGCTTCGAGGGTCTTCCGAGGGAAATACGGGTGTCAGTGGCAACCAGATCCCTTCTGTGTGGGGCTGTGTTATCTCAACCGCTTCCCTCCTCCCCATTTCATAAATCACGGTAAACGGACACTCTAGTGCAGTTTTTTCTGCTAACTTAAGTTCGGGTTTCTATTTCCAAAGCTGGATTATTATTATTATATATGTATTTTTTCTGGATTCCATGAGCTCTGTGATCCTTGCTGTATAATGCAGTGCGTAGTTGCTAAAATGTGTTCTTTTATGTGAATATGAGGTTAGGTAAATTTCAGTGTTTGTTGGCTGTGATTTGAGGTTCTTTTGGCAGTAACTGCTTGGAGTTCTGGTCAATGTGACCCGAAACAAGATATATCAAGACAACTGTGCACCTAGCTTTGCTTTAGGTTTTGAAAGATGGCAATCTTTATTTTTAACGGTACACTGTTACAGCAGAGTCCATACCTGTTGCTGTCTCATTACTGGCCTTTCACTTTAGTATTCTGTGTGATTCATGAATTGATGCTGTGCTTGTGCAGCAGCCATGCTGATATCCTCTGTATTGTTCCAGTTTTGTGATGCTGAAATGCTTGCATGTAAGAGGGAATTTACTGAGGAAAGGCTATTATTTCATAGAATCGGAGAATCACAGAGTTGTTGGTGCCTTCTCATTGATACCCAGTGTGCTGTTAGGGCCATGTCAATCTATGGAGAATTGGAGCACTTGTGACAGATATTCTGTCAGCTGGAGTAGCTGTAATCTTTGGGGATCACTGCTTCAGATATTCTATTACTAATGTGGAACTCAGTTTATTTTATCTTGCTGTTTCCTTTTGTTATACAGAAACCTTGGATTCTCCTGACGCTGCTATCAAGATACCTCCTTATCAGCTAAGGTAAGAATATGCAATGTTGACATTGGTAGAACTGTGAGCATTTGTTAAATTAAAGTAAAAATTCAACAACAACAACAAAAAAATGAGGTAGATAGGAAGAGGCTGAATCTGTGTTTTCATTAGTTCATATATATACACATCTCTAAGTTTACCCTAATGAATAATTTGTTGATATACCCTTGGCCTTCATACATGAATAAAATATAAGAAAAATTGTAATAATGGGAAGAAGTATGTATAGCTGTGTCTTTTCACTTAGAAAATAGGGCTGTCTTATGGTCTGATACAGTTTGCTTTCAGTATGGTGATGTTTCTCAATTCTCTTTGTGTCTATATTTTCTTTTAAATCTAGATCTGTTCCTCTTTATTGAAAAATAAATATTCTAGAAATATAATAGTATAGCTAGGACACTGTCTAGGAACTTAAATAAAACAGTTCCTATGCCTGCTTCCTCTAGCCTGCTGAATTATCTTGAGTCTCATCCTTTTTTTCTTATCTTCACTTGGCCACACCTCACAATGGAGGTGCTGTTTAAGATCTCTTTTTAGAAATCAATGCTGTGAAGGAAGTAAAGAGGCAAAATTATTTGCTACCATAGAATGACTTGGATTGGAAGGGACCTTAAAGATCATCCAGTTCCAACCACCTTGTCATAGGCAGGTTTACCACCCATTAGACGAGGCTGCCCAGGACTCCATCCAGCCTGACCCTGAACACCTCCAAGGATAAAACATCCACAGCTGTCCCTTCCAACAGAACCACTAGGAAGCATCAGATGAGAATGTTGAAAACCTTAGGGTACATACTATGTCATGTAGCTTATAATTAAGATGTGAAATGTTTCCTTATTAGGAAACATTATGAAAGCTTAAAAAGTTAGCATTAGTTCAAAGAGCCTCTCAACAGATGCATGGAAGAAGTCAGTTGAAACCTTTGATAATGCAGAAGTATCCTTTCTTATTCAGAAGTATTTGGCAATACATAATTGAGCTTATAAGAGAGTATGTAGAAGTGCTGCTATGAAGTTATCCTGTCCTGGATATCTTTCTGGACAGCAACCACTAATAACTGCAGGCAAAGATGACCTTTTTTTTCTCAAACCACAATGATAATACTCTCCTGGGACTATTTTTATTGCTTAATTTCTCTCCACTCATGTTGGTATAGCTTTGCACAAGGAAATTATGGAATTGGAGAGCTCATTTTTCTAGACCAGTCACCAAACAGGGAAGAAATAAGGGCAGTATTTTTGCTACTCTTGGATGCCTGTCAGCTGCAGTCTATAAGTGTCCATAGGTGGCCTCCTGTCAATAAGGAATGGATATAGCACAGATCTGACACAACCAAATCCGGATACATGCACGTCCAACACAGTTAGATGAATAATTCCCAGGAGATCCATTAGATTGTTTACTGTGCAGTGTGGTTGGAGAAAATTTAGCTTTTTTCCAATTTGACAGTCTCTGTCTTTTATAAAGGGTATGGTCTCTTTATTTTAAGTACTGTTTTCATTCCGTATGATTTAGCTGGCTGTTAGCTCATTTTTCACTTGCCTAATGCTTCTTTACAGGTATGCCTATTTTCTTCTTTCAATGTTTTTGTTGTTGTATTTGTTTAGTTTTGCTGTAGAATCTTTGTTGCTTTTTGTTTTGTTTTGTTTTTAATAAAGCTAGTATCTTGACAAGTGTCAGTGTGGAGGCAGTGTGTGGGTTTTTTGTTGCTGTGTATCATTTTTTAAGAAATGAAAGGTATGTTAGAAAATTGGAATAACAGCTTTGGTAACAGGATCTTCAGTATGGCACTGCTGCACAACCTGAGACCATCCCTGAGAAATACTAATTTCACCAGCACTCTGATCTTACTCTTCTATTCTCTGCTAACAAATTTCTATTAGGCTCCAGGTGATCATCTTGGGCTGGAGTTTCCTTTGTGATGTACCAATGAAACTGTGATAAGAGCTCATTTTTGCTAGTTATTTGTTAAAGAACAGCATAGTGACAAGTTGATTCCTAACACTGTAAAAAGATAGCCTTGAAAATGAGGCAATGACCAGAAATACAACTAAGACTGATGCATCATGGAGAGATCCTGTCTGTACTTCTTTTTTTCATCTTAAACAGCAGTGGATTGCATCATCTGCTTTAACACATATCAGCCTTTGGCTGCTTATCCACTTTGAATCTTCTGTTCACCCTTTCTACTATAACACTACTGGATGTAGCAGCAAAGAGGCTGGGATGTAGTCTGGAATATTCTGTAATATTAGAGTTGGTGGGGAAAATGGTATGCATTTTCACTCCAAGTGGCCCTAGTCCGTAATTTGGATCTGAAATCCTTGGTTGCAACATACTGACAGTGCTAAGGGCAGATTGGAAAATAGTTCAGGAGAAAAATATATATTTTTTGAGTTCTATTCCAAGAACAACAGATAAATGAGTATTTTGAGTACCCTCTGTGCAGAGGGAATGTTTAAGCTTGTTTAGTAGGAGATTTTTGAGTCACTAGAATATACTGAATACAAGAAAAATACATCAGTACTTCCCTCTGTTATATTTTGGCAAGTTCACAATTTAGAGCGTATCTATACTGTAGGAGAATGTGGGATAGAGATTCGTCAGCTGTCATGCCCAGTTGAGGTAGATACTGGCTCAGTTCCAGAAACAGCAAATCTAGCAAGTGCCCGGGTCAGTGTTGTTTCTCTTCCTTTACAACACAGTATTTGGCTTCTGCTGGTGTTAGTGCTTTTAAATGGAGAGGCTGTGCCGTTACTTAAATCCTTGTTTTTCTGTTGCAACTCAGCAATGATTTCTGCTCATAAGGAGGAGAGGGTATAAACTGTTACTCTTTCCATGCATCCCCCTCCCACCCCCTTTTTTTTTTTTCCTTAAGATATAAAAGGTACGTAGGGCAGGCTGTGCAATACTGTTTCCTGAAGTGCAGGTAGGTAGCTGGCTCAGCTGTAACATTTGTATCAGAGCTGTTCCCAGCACCAGCAGTTTAGACAGCAGGTAATCTGCTGTGTTTGGGAGCACCTGGGGTGCTTTTTCTCCAAGGAAGTGCAATGATTGGGCGTTCTGTCTGGAATGTCATTCTTTAATTACTTTAATAGAGATCTATTGGGCATATTTTCAGACAGCTAAATGAGACTATTTTGCTGTTCAGCTTCCTTTGGTGTTAATTGAACTTATGAACTCAGTTGATGACCTTGAATATTAATTCTGCGAGGGGCATGATTTAAGTGATTCATTTCTTAAAGAGATTCAAATCTCCAACAAATATAGTCTTCCCCTCTGAGTCCTGCCAGATCTGCCTTGAGGTAGAAATACGCATGTGTTTTTCAGCACTTCAACTTGTGATCAGAGCGTTGAACAAAATGTTAAAGATTAGAGAGAAAAATGGGATGAAAATGAGCTCGTCAGTTCAAGACTTTGCCATTGATGCCTACTAAATTTTAGTCATGCAACCCTACCCTGGACTGAATAGAATCGTAGAATAGAATGAGTACCATAGAATGGCCTGGATTGAAAAGAGCCACAGTGATCATCTAGTTCCAACCCCCCTGCTACGTGCAGGGTTGCCAGCCACCAGACCAGGCTGCCCAGAGCCACATCCAGCCTGGCCTTGAATGCTTCCAGGGATGGCACATCCACAGCCTCCTTTGGCAAATGGTGGTGTTTATGTCTCTGATGAACAGGTGTTGTGAAAATTAAATATGTACTAAATGCTTGAGGAGACTGCATGAATGACTTATAAATAATGAATTAGATAAAAGGAGTTGATCACGTGGATGTTAGCTTAAGAGAGAGCTTAATGCTGTCTGCCAACCAACAATTATTTGCTCCTCAGTTGGCCCACATTCGTTTCATTGTTTTTTAACTGACAAGTTCTGTCCTAAGGCCAACCACCTACACTGAGCTAGCCTCTCTTCTTGGCCAATTCCTGGCAAGGTTCTACATTGCAGTTTTAGTATTTAGTTTATAGTGTTTGGTGAAAGGTAACTCTACAGACACGAGAAAATGAGCCTTCAAGAAGAACTAATGAAAGCAGATTAATATTCATGAAATTGAGATGGAAATTGACTTCCAACCAAAATAATGGCCAAATGCATAGTGTGCCTGTTAGCTGGTTGTAGTAGAAGCATTGCCAGAAAGCTGAGTTTGATCCTGGAGGAGTGTGATTGAGTGCAGAAATGCATAGGCAAGACTCTTGATAGTATTGGTTACTGTCTGTGCCAGCTCAGACTTTTCCCTGTCGATGTTAAAGTAATGGTCGTGAGACATGATGAGTGAAGCATTTTTGCACTGTAAGTAACGTAGCTTGCATTTCTTCTTCAAAGAAGATGCAGAAAAGTCTTCCAAATGCTTACTTTTCCCTTCAGTGTATTGATTGCAGGAAATAATTAAATAAAATGAAGGTACAGGCTCAGGCCTTCAGGATGCCTATTTTGTGTGCCTAATCAGGGAGATACAGACTGTGGCTTTCACAGGTGTTGAGTGTTCATAAGCCTGTTTCTGTTGGAAGCTGCTCTTACATTTATTTCTGGAAAAGCTTGTATCCCTCTGGTATTTCACATCTATCTCTCAAAACTGGTGAGTGTTTCTGGGGGTTAGAGCTGGAAAGATGAAAGGTTGGTGATAAACAAGTTCTCCTGTAATAAGCAGCTTATTTCCAGTTGTGTTTCTCCTGTTTGTGCCCATGCGCTCATCTTGGTGCAAGTTTTTAAGGGCTGTTGTGAAGTCTGAGAAATCAGTGCAGCAAGAGCAGTCAGAAACAGAAGTCAGTCTTATTTTTAGGTAACCTCTGAGTACCTACCCTACTTGTAATTTTTCTGCAGTCATGGGAATTCGGGGATGCAATCAGAGGTTCTACTCTGCCATTTATTTTTACATCTATAGTTTTACATCTGGCAAGCTGAGAAGTAACTGTGGCATATGAACTCTTAAATAAAACAGCATACCAATTCTATCATGTATGTGCTCAACAAGTAATAAAAACGGTA